CGCAAAATTAATTTAGAGTCAAACACCCTGTAGCACAGAGTTAGACACCCCCTTGAGAAATGAATGTTGCCGACCGCTTGCTTCTCTAGTTATATCAACTTTAGTAACAACCACACAATAGTAATACACAACGGTCTCAGGAGCCACACACGCTAGACCTCGTCCAGTCCATTACTGCAGTGGGGTGACGCAGCTCAAGGAAGAACATTTATGATAATATCTTTTAAGATGCAACCAGCTACTGGGATGACATCAGCTATTTTTTTTTTTTCTGCCAAAACCACCAACAGCTCCATGTCCAAACTTATTTTGTCTTGTTGTGATCAAAAGCACTTCCAGGTAGTGCTGCTCATGCAGGAAGCAGCCTCCCCCTCCATTCTCCTAATCAGGCCACTCTACAAGAGCCACCAGTGGCCTTCAGCAGGCCTCTTTCTGCTGTTGCTGAGGCCTGTTGGTGTGCTGCTGGGCACTCACTGTGGCTAAGATACCACTCGGACAGTGACTGGGTTGGCTGCCCCACAGATTCATGATCCTGTAAGTGATTGCTGTTTCGCCTCATATTTCTGTTATTCCATAGTTTAGTTTCTTTGGTTTAACAATTGTTTAATTCCAGTTTAATTTCTTTTATGAATTTGAATTATCTGCCTTAACTAATGGATTGTGTTGTTTTGTTGGTCAATTCTGTTTATTTCTTTTAAAGGCTTTGATCGCTGAGTAGGGAGGCTAGGCACCCAGGGTGAGAGTCCTCCACCTTTGCATGCGAGTGCATTGAGTCACAACGAGGCTGCACCATAGTATTAAAGGATTGTAGTGGCATTGTTTGTTGTGGTAAGTATTCTTTTGGGTAGCACCCCCACATATTCCTTGTGTAGTCTGCCTCTTCACTAGTGGCCTTAGCCTAGTTTTGTTTGAAGTCCCACTCTCATAGTATTTTTACGATTTAAAGTGTTATCAGTGGTTTTTGAATTATGATTGTTACGTTTTTAACCAAAATCACATTACCTGTGACATCTTTAAGGGCTTTTCTTCTGCAGAGCTTCAGTAGCTCATTAGCAATTTGCCTCTGAGTTGTGGGCGGAGACAGTGCTGCTCTGCACACTCCCCTTCAGGCTAGCTTGTAGCCTAACATTGTGGGCGTAGTAGAAGTGGCAGGTAACATAGGAGCTATTCAGCTCTAAAACACTAATGTCTTTGGGAAAATGATGAAAGTTAATATCCCAATTGGCTTTCTTAGGAGCATTGCAATCTGCTAATGCACACACTTGATCGTCTTGATCGCGATCATCCTCTCTACTCCTCTGGCCTGCATGGGGAGGCTCAGGGGGCGGAGCTTGCATTTGTGAGACAGGAAATATCCCTGTCTCTGAACATTCCTTTTGAGTCTGTGAGAGATTCACAGTGATTTGAATTCAGAAATACTCTGAATTGCAGTTTTTCACTTAGTTTTCTCATATGTTCTATAGCATCAGAAAAATGTCATGTGAACATGTAAAAAACAAGAAAACATTATTTTCATCAGAGTGTCTTCAAGAACTTGTAAGTTTTCTTTTGGTCTGGTTATTTTAGGGCACTGGACGTTTTGAGTGGTTTTAGCTTTTATATGTGCTTCTTTTTTTTTTTTTTTTTACCAACTTTTAAATAAAAGGATCATTATAACTTCCTTTTATCCAATTTTCTTGTGTGATTTCTTACTTATCTCCTCTTTCCCACAATTTTAGGTTATTTTACCTATTTTTTCCGTTTATCACATAAAACCCTCAACTTATTTTCTGTGTCTCTGCCTCTTCAGTGTTTTACCTTTGTGCCTTATATTTTAAAAGTTGTTCAGCCTCTGGTGTAGTCTGTATCCTGCAGTGTGAGTCCACAGGTGGTGTTGTTGTTGTTTCAACGTTTTAACATTAAGTGATTACCACTCTGTTACAATAGCCTGGAGATACTTCAGAGAGCAACATTTAAGGCAATGATACACTAAATCACTGAAGTTGAGAATGCAGCTGAGAGAGCAGTGAACTGAGTGAATATCCAGGGGCATGTCTTAGACTACAGGACATAAGGTGCTAAGCCCAGACCTCCCAATCCCCATCCCTCTAAAAGAAGTCAAAGAAAATAAAATGTACATATATGTAATGGCCACATGAGAAAATTTGACTTGCAGTGACTATTCTGCTATATGACCTCTGTTGATTGGCAGGCACTGCACAGCAGCATTGCATTGTGGGGTGCGTCTAATCTAAACTATCTAATTACGGAATCCAAATATTGCACTAATAAAAAGCACCCAGAGAGGGACATACTACAAATGTAAATGATAGTACTATCAGTCAATCAATTGTATTGACTGATTTAAACTAAAAACTGTTTTTTTTTTTAATTATTTAGGAATAAAATGACTAAAGTGACTTTTTTATGAACAACTATACTGAAATGATGTAACTAGAACTATTTTAGTTGAAAAATTACTCAAATTTGACTTAAACTGTGAGGTATTTTAGCCTAAGACTAAATCTGAAACAGCAGCTTAAATTAAAACTGTTAACCAGCATCAGCCAGCAAGTTGTCCAGGCTTGTTTATGACAATCACAGAAGATAACTTGAGTGTCTCCACGAGTTCACTTGCTCTCCTATCTGAGTGTGAATACTGATGAAGGGGAGCAGACTGGCTGTCCAGTATGCTCCCACTCAGTGGATGGATGATGTAACTGGACAGCTAAAGGTGAGACGGACAGCTGGACATTCACACTGACCTAATAGAACAACAAAATGTGTACAGTAGATCTAAACTGAGGACATCTAAGTCCCTAGATGCCTTTGTAGATATTTATTAAGGCAACAACATGAATGAGGATGACAGATCCTTGGGTTTGTGCTGAGCTTATTCTCACAGCATGTTCCTCTTGTTTGTGGGAGAAACTGATTTTTAACTTCTTTTTTACTCAGTACTTTGACTTCTTGTCTTTTTTTATGTCTTTATCCTCTTTGAAGAGGTACAGCCTTGCATATGTTTTCAGATTACTCTTACACTGATAAAAGAAAACCCAGACAGTTTTTTTTTCTTTTGTTCAAAGGGCAAAAATAAATAAATAAATAAAACTTTGGCCACCATTGAAAAGATGTTCAAAATGATTCAAAGCGGACTTTTTTTTTTTTTAAGTCTATTTGTAAAAGTTCAGTGACTGAGCTGTATCTCATCAACATAGAGGCTCAAAGGTATAATGTGTTGAAATAGAAATACAGAGTGGTATCTAGAGGTCAGATTCTAGACGGACATGCAGCCTTGCTTACCACTTCCTTCACTTAACTGATGGTGTCCTTGAAGGACAAGAAGCTTCTGTGATGTGCATGATCAGATCAAAAACTCATATTAATACAAATTATTCTGTGCATAACAATGGAGAGTGTGTTTTTTTAATTATTATAATCATTATTAATATTATTAGGGCCACGGGGCAAATGCACCAAGACACTGTTTTCATACTTTTTCTTATTCCTCTTCTGGACAAATTTTGATTCCCTTAGTCCTACAGCTTGATGAGTTGTAGGACAAATTATACATCAAAGTGTGCAATTTGATCAGGAACGGTGTAATACGAATTTTCTCTATTGCATATGAATATTTTGCAATGTAAGTTGCGAAAAACTGAGGAAAATTTTGCCCTTAAGTCAAGTGGACAATTATTGGAGGTTTATTTATTCATTTTTGTATAAATAATTACATGAAAAAGGGATGCTTGTTGTAGGTGTGCTCCTTGTATGTAAATCACAATGGCACTAATATTAATCATTTGGAATCTCTAGAGAATCTCATCATAATGGACACACTCAGGCAGTCGCCCCCATGGCCCTTTAAAGTTTCTCAGAGGGAATTTCTTATTTAAGTTATATTCCCCTTTCATGCTGGAATAAAGAAGCTGTTGAAATCTCTGGATAAAAAGCTGATGGTCAGTCCTCAGTTTTGTTACAGGTGGATCTGTCTGCTGCGTTTGACACAGTGAACCACCAAATCCTCCTCTCCAGAATTGCTGAACTTGGTTTCTCTGGCTCGCCCTTCAGTTGTTTGTTTCCTACTTCAAAAAGGGGTCTTATATAGAATTATTGAGAGGAGAAGTGTCCAAACCACATTGCCACATTGCTTTTCTTGTTGTACACACTCTCACATGATATTTCCTAATGGATGAAAGAACGCCACCTATACCTCAACCTGTCAAAAACTGAGCTTTTTGTTATTCTACCCTCTCTGCATCCACATATCAGTATCCAGTTTGGATCAAATGAACTTGCACACACTAAGTCTGCCTGAAGTATGGGTGTCAAAACTGATAACCTTAAAGGTTCATGTTGCCTTGATGGCTCAGTTGAATCGATTCGCCCTCTATAACATCAGGAGAGCTAGACACTACCAGACAGAGCACACAACACAGATCCTGGTACGTAGTCTTGTAATATTATGTATTGACTACTGCAACTCCTTACTGGTAGGCCTCCCTGCGTCCACAGTGAAACCTCTACAGCTGCACCAGCGTGCACCAACCCCTCTGGTTTTCAACCAGGTCTACACTGCCTCCTGCCCAAGTGTGTTGCCGAATTTACTGCACGATAGCACTTTGCTCAATTGCACTTATGGCAGTTTTTGGCACCTACTTGTGTTGTTTCCCTTCAATCTCGACCTTGCTTGCATTGTATTGGCTCTCAAATGTACACCACTTTGATAGATTGAGAAAAACATATTTACATGAATAAGTCAGAATCTGAAAAAAATCTGTGGAAAGAATAAAGGTATGAAATGTAATCAGTTGTTATGGGTATGTATCAAACAAAGTCATATATGTCTGTTTCTGTTTCTATTATACTGTACATTTAAGCAAGGTGAGCAGGAAAGTCAAGCACATACTGGGAGTTTTACGTCAGTAAGAGACTCTTGTCTTTTACTGACGTAAAACAATTGAAGTGTACAAGGACAGCAGACAAAGACTGCTATTATCTGGCACAGTGATGCTAGGGCGGCAGTAGCTCAGGAGGTAGAGCGGTCGTCCAATGACCGGAAGGTTGGCGGTTCGATTCCCCCCTAATCCAAGTCTGTCCGTTGTGTCCTTGGGCAAGACACTTAACCCACCTTGCTCCCAGTGTGTGTCCTCCACTGGTGTATGATTGTGAGTGTCGTGTGGTGGTGGTCGGAGAGGCCGTAGGCGCAGAATGGCAGCCACGTTTCCACCACCACCAAAGTGTGACTGTGTGAGCGAATGAATGATGTATCCAATGTAAAGCGCTTTGAGGGTCTCTGATAAAGCGCTATATGAAATCTGATGCATTATTAGTTGTGGTTGAGCTTTGACTTTTACAGTGTATTGCAGATTAAATCTATAAATGTAATTTGAGAAAAAAACATCAACAAAGGCATAGAGAGACAGAGAATTTGAAATTACACTAGCCTGGAGGAGAAAAGTGCATGTAAAGAAAGAGAGTTTGTGTGTTTGTGTCATGTTGTGTGTGTGTGATCTCCATTAGTTACTCCGCTCTGACAGCCAGTGAGGATCACTGTGGCCTGAAAGGCCCACAGGTAAGGCTGACAATTTTATACCTAAAAAGCTTTTTAATATTTCATTGACATCAATGCACACATTACCTGCAGACTGGCCGTATTTATTTTACATGCCCATTTTAAGCAAGTATGGTTTCGAAAGTGGGAGTCGTCATCTGTGAAATGGATGAGACAGAGTGCTTTCTGCAAATAGGAACAGATACACACTCTTGGTTTATTCAGTTACCATGAGAAATTAATGAAGACACTAGAAAAGGTTTCACTTCTTTATTTTTCTCGGCACTTCTACTTAAATGGTGGATAAAATAATGCATATGCTGGTTCAGGAGGAATGTGTTCAACCTATCAGGATGCTCATTCTAGTGAAGGATCTTAAAGCTCTGCAGAGATACAAATGTATCTGCCTCTCAACAAAATAACAATGCTCCTACACATCTCTCACTTTGATTATATACAGAAATTAAACAAAACTGTTAATACTGAAGTCTAATGTAGACAGTGAACTGTACTGAAGAAGCTATCATGTAGTGATAGCAATGTTGACCATTGCTGCCAACAGCTTCAGCTGTCTCCATGTTGTTTTATGGAATCAAAGGTAACTTTATATGAACATCATGATGGCTGTGCAGTGTTGTGTCTTTATCTTGGTTTGCAGCCTAGTGCTGGTAAACTACATCACAAGACATTGGTCCCCAACTGGGCCTCTGATCTGTACTGGGTTTGAGGTTGTTTCAGTGGTAATTTGGTAAGACAATCCATATCCCTTGTGATAACCTTCTTTTCCATGACAAATCGTAGAAAACAAGCTATGTATATGTTTGTCATTTTTTTCCTCCATTCTATCAATGGACAGCTCTGTGTCCTCAACTATTTTGCTGACAAGATTTGGTTTTTGGGGATCAAGTTTTAGAGAACAAATTCAGTGAGCTGTTTTGCAGGAACTATAAGCTATAAATCACTCAGGCTGAATATGTGACTGAAAGAGCAGTGAACTGAGTGTCTATCCAACTTGCCTGCCCAGTGGCATGTCTCAGAAGTCAAAGGGAATAAATGAGGTCAGAGTGGCCACAGAAAGAAGGTTTGACTTAGAGTAAGGATCACCCCTCTATAGTACCTTTGTAGATCAGCATGGACATTGCATTGCAAGGAGAGTCATAACATTATTTTCCAACCAAGGTAATAAATCCACATATTATTGACTTTTACTGACAAACTGTTTTGGACAAATGTGACTAAAACTAAAGGGCATTTTCAGTCCAGAAATTAACTAAATCAAAAGTAGCTACCAAAATTACCACTGGGTTTTTACAAATCAGGCAGTGAAAACACAGTCTTAACCAAAGGACTGGAAACATTTTTCATCATTACTGTGTACTGCACACTGAATGGTTGTTTACAACTAGACAATGGCCAACCTTTTATTCGCCATTTTATTCACAAGGTAAATTGTTTTTATTCAAAGTTAAAATGTAACACTTTTTTTCCATATCAGTTCTTTTTAAGATTTATATGAGGAAATAAAAACCTTAAGCTGGTTAGGGTCTGTGTGGGTCAATGCTGCACAGATAGACTGCGCACAGAGAGAGGTCACTTTTAGTCAGTAAGCTACAGTGAGGAGAAAACACGAAGAAACAGATGACATGAAGAAGGTTTCTCATTTTGGCTGCTGGAAAAAGTCTCATAAGGATATTTAAGACAAGAAAAAGGTTAAATTCAGCTAAAAATATGACCACAGCTTCATAAAACTGTGCTTCACTGCTCAGCATTAGAACAGATCCTGGAAACAAACCGCTCCTGTAACACACGTGACATAGCTTTACAACATCTTTTCAGGGAAAACCTCTGGGATCACAATGATGGCGAGTGAAGTTTTTTTTTTATTTTCTACAACAATACTTGTAAAGGATTTCCATAAAATGTGTAATAATCCCCCCAATTCCAAGTCCTTCTGAAGTGGAAGTACTGCTGACTGGTGTGGGCCGTGGTCTGGAGACATACACCACTATTTAATCTATTTTTTTCATTAGTTTTGAAGCAATTGTCTTAAATTGTATAGTTAGTTTCGTATCGCTATGGAGAGAAAAACAAATCTTGTCAGGATTTGGTAACAATCCCATGACCAGTTCATTGAAGACAGCACTGTGCTGGCACTTGCTCTACACTATGGGCTCTATTTTCATGCCTCGCCCAAGGCATGCCCAAGCACACTTTGGTATTTTGGTGAGCGGCGCAGCCCAGCGTAAGTATCCTGTCTTCCCAAACTCAGCTCCTCCCAGCGGCGTAAGTAGCAGAGAGGGAGGGTATAAGGTGTGGAGTGGGTTTAACACAGCTGAGTCCTGTTTTCATCAATCACATCAGCTCTCCTCCTCACCTTTAAATCCGCCACCGGTGAGGCGTTTTACAATTTTCGTGAAGTAGTTGAAGAGATCAAAAGATAGCTGAGGACAGCAATGCCACCTGATGGTGACAGATGGCAGCCCCTCAGCAAGTGTTGCGGTAAGCGCTGCAGAGGGCGTCCTGATAACATATTCGCCATCAGTACATATTTGCAGAGATTATATGTTCATTAAATTGGACTCCTTTTGCAGCCAGTGCAGCCCCTGGTCTATGGTGTTTCTTCAACAGGTTTCCACCTGAAACCTTAGGCCACGCCACAGTTTAAAGTGAAGCAAAAATATTTTTGTTCTGTAATTACACAATATTTCACAGTAAAATGAATGGTTTTGGCAACTTCCCCTCCAGTCATGTGCTGCTAACTGTCAGAGAGCTCAGAGACCAGCCACACATCCCAGCCCTCCTCACTCCCCACGGTTTGGCTCGTAATAACACAGTCATTTGATCGTGTGGAGAAAAGAGGCTCAGGCGCCTGAATGAGACACTAATTAAGAAATTCAGTCATGTGTGAACGTGGCCACGCTTACGGCATGCAGATGAAGTCAGCGCTACCTGGACGCCCCCACTTCATCAGATAAAGCTTTGCATCTCAAAGGAGGGGACTGTCGCAGTAGAGAGGTAGGCCACACTACTGACTGTGATACAACCACTGTGAAGAAGAAAGGCAAAGAAGATGAGTCATTAAGATAGTACATATCTATCTAGGCCTTTGCTTATCTTTTACTCTTTCAGATATTACATTAAAAGAACAAGAAAAAAGGAAGGTATTAAAAGTTAAAAGCAAAGCCAGAGATGATTAATTCATGAAAGGAGTGTATACGTCACAATCAGCCAATGAGTCACGAGATAAATACATATGTTGATAATCCTGAGTGTTTAGTAAATTATTTTACAGATATGCCAAAAACTCTGTACCCTGAAAGCTTAATGCTAACATGGTCTGTTTAAAATGTCCCTCTTAACCTATTTGATGTGTATATTGTATTTTTTTGTATGACAGTCCAGCACTTTTGCACATTTAGATTTGCTAATGACGGTCACGCCCATCATGTAGTCCAGCTGAGTCTGACGGGACAGTTATCAGTTTTGGTCACCAGCCAAAGAATCAGTCAAATTAAAACTTTGACCTGATTAATGGCTCTAGATAAAATGTCAAGGGATCACTCTAGTTATTACAATTAATCATTAAAAGGACATTCAAGTCTTCATCAAATTTAATGGCAATCCAATAAAAGCTCATAAAATTGACCCACAGCTAAAAATGTCAACTACAGACTGGTGCATGAGGAAAAAGTCACCAAAGTATGAAGGTTATTCTCATCCCCTGGGAATCTTGGGTTGAAATCTTGTATTTTTTCTTTGAACAGTACTGAAAGTAACACAAGATGTTTTTTTTTCCCTGAAATTACATTGGGAAAGAGTGTGATTGTCCCATTTTTGGGGGTTTAAACTTTAGAGTGCCAGTAATCGCTCAGTAGACTGCAACACTTGTCTGCACAGCAACCAAAGCCTGCAGTTCCTCACAGCTACAGTGCCAGATAGGAGTGATTGACAGAGAGACACGGTGGGGAACAAAGAGCTCTAAAAGTCGACCAGGTTATGATGGTGGTTTTCACTGAGCCAGAGACATTAAAACACTGCTACTGTACTGACAATATAGTGCCACAGAGCAGGGCCCCGTCATGCCAGCCAAAACTCAGGGGGCCACAGAGGGAGTGGGGGAAGAAAAAAAAAAAAAACATGATGTCACGTTTTTTTTTTTTTTTTTTTTCCTTTAAGAAAATCAAATCTGATTAAAAAAATTATGATTGCTAAAATGTGTTTTTTGTTGCCCTTAGTACTTGGTCCAATCATTCATATCTTTACTACAACTGTTTTTAACCATTTTATCTTGTAGTGATCAGTTATAGGCTTTTCATCATTGCCTCCCTCCTTGACAGGTTTATCATCCTGATTAATTACTATCACCCTTTCTGAAATGGTCTTTTTAAAGAAGGAAACACATTTTTAAAAATGTATCAGTGATAAAAAAGAAGATTCAAAATAAAGTGTAAAGGAACAAGTTAGTCAAGTATTAATACTTTTTAGCATGTCAAAGAAAATATTGTAGCTTTAACTCTATTATAAAGAGCCTGGGAGGTGAAATTATTATTATTTTTTTGTAATTCCCATGTGCGATTTAGTATCTCGCACGTGCGTTTTAGTTTATTCCAGGTGCAGTTTAACTCTTTGTTAATAAACAAAATCACTTCCTGCAAGTCCGAATATCGCCCACAGGAAAGTCGCTGTGCTATAAGGATCCTGATGAGGTGTCTCCTACTCAAAACATTACCAAATGTGGCTAAGCTATAAAGTACCTCTTTGTGAGTCATACCTAAATCAAAGCAAATGTTGATATTATGGTCTCTGTCCTTGACACTGTCCTTCTTCTCTCACAAATAAGGCACGCAAAGGATTATTTACAAAAACACATGCAATAGACAAATAAAACGCACATACAAGATATGTACAACACGAAAATACTAAAGTTAATGTCACCTCCCGGGCTCTGTACTATTTTGCTCATGTGATAAAAAATAATAATAATAAAAAAAAAAGTTATTTCTTTAATTCAGACCACTAATGTGATATGTGTGGCTCATAACACGGTCTCCAGCTGTTTAGTCCACTGAGGCTACCTTCATACCTACCTGCTGTAATGCTGAGGTGATCCTTTTTTTTTTTTTTTTTTTGGTACTCTTTTGTATTTTAATTCTGTTTTGAGCTACTCTACATAGTGAGGACATTTTATGACAAGTACAATATCAGCCCTAGTTCAAACAGAAACTCCTACTGAACCTCTCTATACTCAAGGCTCTATTTTGGTGCCTCGCCGGAGATCTGCCGCAAGCGCAGCGTCAATCAGATCCGCCGCGCTGACAAGGCGTTCCCAAGCACATTTTGGTATTTTGGTGAGCCGCGCAGCCCGGCGTAAGTATCCCCCCTCCCTAACTCAGCTCCTCCCGGCAGCATAAATCATAGACGGGGAGGAGAGAGGGCGTATAGGGGGTTTAACACAGCCGAGACCTGTTTTCACCAATCACATTAGCTCCTCTCCTCGCCTTTAAATCCGCCACCCGCGAGGCGTATTACTATTTTCATGAAGTAGTCAAAGAGATCAAGAGATGTCTGAAGACAGTTATGCCACACGATGGCGACAGAGGGCAGCTGCTCAACAAGTGTCCTCCACACTCTCTCATCTGAGCACAGATGGATTTGGTGTGCGTAATGTTGGACCCACTGGTAAGACAAACACCCTTTTCCACAAAAAAGACACTCACATAAAGTTGCATATATTCAAACCTCACGTGACAAATGTGGGTTTAGCGCACAGATCACAACATAAACTCCAAAAATGGCATTAAAATCGGAACCATCTGTGCGTAAATGACGCATCGCGCTCCGTGGCCTGGCTCTTTCTTTCATAGATGTTGGCATATAAAATACATTTGGCCCACAAAACTGAATATTATAATATCCGTGTGTCGGCTTAAAGTAGATCACGCATCTGAGCACTGAAACAAATCATCTGTTCAGCTGCAGCAGCAGCAGCAAGATGGACAGAGGACACGGAGACGTGTCCAGGTCGAGCTGTGCGAGAAATAAGAGGAAGAAAGAAAAGGAGGGAGACACATTACATATCTTGTTAACTTCATCATGTGTGTTTATTTACTAGATATTTAATTTAATTTGATGCAGTTTCAGCTGTGTTAATTCGGTCAGGTTGTGTGCCCAAACGCGTGCCAAATGCGCTCATCAGATCAGATATAAATCAGAATATATCGATATAGATCTAAATGTATGTGCTGACTCAGATTAATAGTTGTTGATGATTATTTATTGCACTGAAATCTGCCTGACACTGTGGAAACCTGCCGGTGAGGCATCAGTGACGTATGTCGATACGCCGCCGGTCTACCAAAATACTACTAGACCAGCTGCGTTCCGCCTTGCGCTGAAAGCTGACCAGGTTTGAATCGGCGAGCTTTCAGCGCACGTTACACGCCGGTGGCGAGCACGAAAATGTCACTGCGCCAGCTGATTCTGTCAACACCTCCCCCTGCCACGCCACCACGCCCAGCTTGGCGGATCTCGGCTCGCCTCCTTGCGACTCAGTCCACGAAAATACCAAACTCGCCTTACGCCGGGCTCCGCCAGACGAAAATACAACTGCGCGGGGCTCGCCGCCCTCCGCCGCCTCACCGGCGCGAACGAAAATAGAGCCCTCAGTGTTTACTCCCACAGGTGACAGAGCAGATGTGACCATTATATAAGCATCCTCACCACCACCTCCAGTTTGTCTCAGTTCTGATTAAATACATGAAGATACCTTGACAGTCTCCTTGTTGAGGACTTTTCATTTTTCTTATTCCTATCACGCACCTGTCTAATAAAATATCTGTTCGCTCACAGTGAAGACTCCCCTCAAAATTTTCAGATATTAGATGGGAGAAAGGGGACCGTTTTGTTTGAGGTTTTTTGAAAGAGGATCTGCCAGACTGGATGATTTTTGGATTATCACAAAAAACTGAACGAGTAAAGACTTCATATCAGCTTGTAGATTCACATTATTATTTTTTTTTTTGCTCAAGGACACTCCGACACAAAACAGCCTCTGGCTTTTCGTTAATTTAAAAACCCTACAGCAGTAAAAGACTGAAAGACAGCTGACAGGTATCCTTGTTCATAGTTTGTTTCGTACAGAAGGTTATGTAAGTTGGCTGTGAGAGAAGTGCCATCACTGACGCTGTTAATGAGCAAAATTACTGAGATATGTTTTCAATAAGAAACCTTTTCACTAACTTTCTTAATGAATGACTTGAAATGTGTATCTTTCAGTTCATACAGCTAATCAAGCTTTCATATGAGATATTAGACAAATATGTTGATTTCTCATTACATTATTCTTCTAAATAGACTACAAATGGATCGGCTGAGAGAAAAAGTGAATATATTTATCTTTATTGTCTTTGTCTTTATTCATAACTACAGCTGTGCTGTTTTTTTTTTTTTTTTCTCATTTATTCCCTTTTCATTCCTATAATGTCTGATGCCTGTATCTGAATGTCTTTCATTCATTCAGCTGTTTTTTATTGGTTATTGTGTATTTTTATTTTATCCCAGTTTAATTATAGACTTGCAGTTTTGGCGAATATAAACACCGCCTCCCTGCTATTCCTTTCAAAATAAATCTAAAGTAACAACCCAATTTCCTCACAGGGATTATTGTTTCATCTAATCGTGTGAGTAAGGGCCTTACTCCTGATCCAATAAGCTTCTCTTTTGTATTGAAGCTTTTTAGGAACTCTTTGATCCATCCAACTCCAGGTGTTTAGCAGATCTTCCCTGACCCAGCCAGCGTTTGGGTGTTTCAGCAGTATATCTCATTTACCCAGCCGTGTCAGCTGTCTCCATCAGCGGGGCTCCTCTCTGTTTGGCTTCTTTATGAGGCAGAAAATGTCTCCACAATGGAACTGTTTTATGACGCATTTCAAGCTTGGCAATAATCTGGGTGACATCGTATCAGGTAGGAGTAAAATCGATGTGCCAGGCCAGTCTAGAGCCAGGGCTGATGTTTAGCTGCTCTCTTTGGCCCTCACAGATCGATGCGATACAAGGTCTTTGATTTAGTAATGCTCTGGTTCATTTAATGTGACTAAAAGTACAATAAGAAACACTGTGACTCCATGTGGAAGTCAGAACCTGTCATCCTGTCTGCGCTGTTTAACCACAACTCTATTGGAAGTCTTTTTTCAAGTCTTTGCTTCAGCAATATGAGGTAACTTTGTCCAAAAAAATGTACATTTAACATCATAACTTACAAAACAAAACAAACAAACAAAACAAAAAACATAATTAATGTGTACAGAATGTAATTTACTTTTTAAAATTTTCCAAGTCTTGTCTGGTGATTTTTATTTTTATTTTTTTTGTCGCAAACTTCAATGCGATTATTTTGGACGACAATATTTTCTTTCGAACCCGTCTCCTGTCAATACAAGCATTCACATCAGCGATGTTTTCCCGTCCTGTGATATTGCGGCATTTCTTTTTTGGATCACGGTGGATTTTTCTAAAGTTTCACATACTGTGTGTCCACTTCTGACCAATCAGATTGCGTGTTGTTGTGATTTCTAATTCACCGGTATATCCAATAGGTCGACCAGCTGATTGTTTACGTGTTTGAGAACAAGGTACTTTATGATAAAAAACACAAATATTTTAAAAGATAACGACCTGAAGGACAACATAGCGTTGGATCTCTCATATGACGATGGTTTGTGTGCTTTAACAGTTTGCTAAACATCTTTGTTTTAACTTTTATCTGTGCTAGCATTAGCTAACGGTTGTTACCATAGTTTTATGAGCTTATCTTATTGCCTCTTATTGGCCGTAAGTGCTAACCATTTAGCTTGAGCGTGTGATGACGTTTCCAGCTTTTCTTGCCAATCAGAAGCGAAGGAGGCGCGACTTTTCCAGGGAAAAGTCTTCCCAAACCCAAGTGCTTCAGTGAAGTGAGAGCTCACACAGTATATTGAAATTTCACATCACATCCTCAAAATGTAGGGTGACCATATTCTGCATCCCCCACTACTAAGCAGGGCGGAGTCGCACGCAAAATTTTGAGGGTTTTTTGGGTCGTTTTTAACGCGCTTCTAACTCAGTCCATGCTACACACACTCAAAACTTCCATACAAAACCTCCAAACATTTGAAGGATTTTGTAAACTCCCATCAGACATGCCAGACAAGGCTGGGCAGCACCTAAAAAGAAGATATGGCCGGGTAAAAGAGGATGTATGGTCAGCCTACAAAATAGGTTTACAGCATGTTTGAACTCATTTAAACTAATGTTCCATTTCCATTGAAGGTATGAATTTCCATAATGTTCCATAATCCCTTTTTTTGCCACAAAGACAAACTAGCTGCAGAATAGGAGGACCAACTAGCTCACCAGAAAACCAAATCAAGAAAAGATAGGATGTTTCTAAAATGCAGAAGAAGACTGTTTCTGAGGTGTGGTTATGCAAAAAGTAGTGCAGACAGAAGCTCTATCCTGCTGTCTCTTAACAGCTAGATACCATGAATATTTGGATTTAAAAGGTATTAAAGGCTATTTCTGTAAACCATGCTGTGAATCATCTTGTTTGATACCTCCCAGGTGTTAAAAACGACAATATGAAAATTGTCACTCTCATCATTCATGGCCTTGATCGTATTTTGTAGGTGAATTTGAGATAGCCCTATTGTCAATAATAGAAAACGATTCGTGTCCAGTCTTGTTTACCCCGCCGAGGTTCATCACACATGGACACCTGCACGCTGGAAATCATTCTGGAAATTACCCAGATACAAATTAAAGACACCGTTGACGTGCGGTATATTTCTTGTGTGGTTTGAAACCCCTTACAATTTTCTGCATGGTTAACATTTGCCTCTTTCCCTCTCCCACAATAATTGAAAGTCATATTAAAAGTATCCCCCATGTTGTCTACTACCACCAGCATCATAAATTTCACAAATGCACCAAACTTCTCAACATGGATTGCCCTGATATCATGTGTGTGATGTGGTTTGTTGGGGGCTTTTGGCCAATCAGGATCAAGGGTTTGACACAGGTGATTAGTAAGAAGGTCCAGGTAATAAGTGTTAGTGAAAGTCCCTGTAGCTCTGCTGAAGTGAAGAGCCACTGATGAAGCACCTCAGAGAGCATATCACCACAGACAGAGCAGCAAATCGTGTCTCTATGACCTCAGCAATGGCCCCAATGATTGATCAGTGTATTTCCAAGCTGATCGATTGTTAATTTGTTCATTCATGCATTCATTGGCAGACAGACATAAAGACAGATTTATGCGGACATAGAGATATTTGCAGATGAGGGTTTGACTTACCGACTGACTGATTGAGATTACACACAGAGCTCTGATCTATTCCTCTGAACCCTAATGAGTGTGTGTTGGAATAATCACAGTGCAAGCAGAGTTCGTGTGTGTGTGTGTTCGTGTTCGTGTTTGTAGTTCTGATGCATGTGTGCACACAGTGAGCTTTCACTGGATGCTGTGCAGAACAGAGAGGTCTGATGTGCAGGGTGAGAGTCTGAGGCTAAGCTGTAATTGAATACCAACAGGAGCGCTGTTTCTGCCCAGACCTCTGAAGGAGGATCTGACCTTGAGACGCTGCCGCTGATAGACAGGCAACACAAAGACCCGGCTGGCTAATTAGATTAAAAAACATGGATCCCAGGGGATGGAGATGTGACAAGCACATTGATTCACTCCATCTCCTCCATTTCCACCTCCCTCTCTTTTTCACTCCCTCCACCTCTCAGCACATGCCTCATTGTATCTGTCTCACTGTGCTGGTATCTCAGCACAGTGTGTTTGGTGTTTCCTCCTGTCACTCTTAAGACAAACTTTGTTACTTCTACCCTAAAGTCATTCCAGTCCACTATGGTAAAGTCTCCTCCTTTGAAAAGTTGTGATTGACCAAACAACGCCTGTCATGTGTTATCATGAGGGTTTTTTCTCTCCCTCATTTTGGCCGTTTGGACCAAATGCCCTTTAGTATTAGTCACATTTTGGTCATTTTGCGTTTTACAGTTAGTTTTATGGATTAAAAGGAAAACATTTCCACAGAGATTGCACCAAGTGTTTAGTACAGTAATCCTGCGTTCCAGTTACCTTGGAAGTCAGAGCCGGTGATGACATTACACCCGAGTTAACAGCATTCAAGTAAACAAGTTGGAAAACCAAGATGGACGCCTACTGTTAGCCGTTGTTAGCTGTTGATAACAATTGTCAGTCGTTATCAGTTTTTGTTAGCGGTTGTCAGCTGTTGTTAGCCCTAATCAGCTGTCGTTGTATACAATGATAGACTGTATATAGAATGGACGCCACCTGCCTCCTCGCTGAGTGAAGCCACTCCAAGAACAGCACCCTCTGGTGACGGGCTGCAGTATAGGTCATAAATCCTGCCTCCGCCAGCAAAGCTTATGGAGCTGTGGACAAACTTTAGAAATTTATTACACAGAATATAATTTTTTTTCCTCCCTACTTGCGATGTTGACATGTAGTTATTGTAAGAGTGGTTTGTGCTCAAGTCTTTTTTTTTTTTTGTGCAGCTACATTTTTAAAGTTATGAGGGGGTTCATATTTTCTATGATTGACATTTGATACAGCCTATAGGCATACAAGGATTGTGTAGCTCCCCCGAGGGATACGCTGTTTGAACTGAGTGTCATCACAGCGACCCTTGGCCACTCTCCCGCCGAATGCGCACAAGGTTACTGCGCAGTGTTGGTTCCAGGAAATGGAGAAAGATCGCTGAAATACTGAGAGCTTTTTGGCTTCAAATCCGTATACTGTCGGAAGACGGAATCAAGATGTCTGTAGTTTAAACAGTCTATGTATACAACGCTTAACACAGTATTTTAGTCTTACAAACACCATGGCACTGTGTACACAGTCAGATGTTGGGCAGAGCAACATATACCACTTATTTATTTTCACAAAAACAAAACAGAAGTGCTGATAAATAATGCATTACAAGAGTTTTCACTGTTACTCATGATGTTGATGCAGTGCACTGCCATCTTGGAGTACGACGTTGTTGTCAAGTCGGGGTTGTCTTTACGAGTCAGAAATTTGACTTCAGGTGGGCATTCCACGTGAATTTCTGACTTGGAGGTCGGAAATCCTGACCTCTGAGTAGAACTGGAACGCAGCAAATAGCAACATTTCACTCTCTGGACACTTAAGCTGATGCCATAGGTATCTACACTGTCATGGTCACTATATACTTCTTTCTCAGAGTTTCTGTGCTGTTCTAAAATACTCCACCGTAATGCTAGTCAGCAATGCTTGTCTCATTGCCAGTTTCTGGTCCCGGTGAGTTCCCTCCTTGTTTGTTTACAGGAAACCATGGCACCTGAATTCCAGTGTTATATGTTTGTGTAAAGTGAAAAATGTTGTGCAGCAGTTGATGATGCTTTAATAATTGCACAGAGGAATAGAGGGGTGACGTTGGAGGACAAGACCAATACAACCAAGAGGAGGATGGAGGTTGGCGGCAATCCTGGAAATGTAAACTGTCAAGCAGACTAACCCCAGTGCTTGTAGTCCACTTCAACTCCATGCAAAGCTGACCTAATCTACCACTAGCTTTGGTGTTCTCCAAAGGTGCAAGAATAAAAGCAACACCTGTATGAGGTCTTCTTTCGTGGTGCTTGTTGTTAGCGTTTTCTTTAACACCACTGATCCTGTTACATCCTGTAACAAGTCCATGAAGAATTATCAGGATCAGTGTAGTTTTATTGATCAAATGAGCTTGAGGTGAAAATCTATATTCTTATCAGCTAGGTCAGTGACACTTTTTATTTTGAATTAATTCATAATAATTTCTATATGTCTTAAGGATTATAATTAATCCAATATATATCTCTTTATTTCTCCACCTTGTTTGTGACTCTTAGCCCAAGCCCATTTGGTCCTCTTCCTGCAGGTGTAATGAGTATATTTTTGATGAAGTGCACATATACTGTACAACCATTAAAAAAGACATTTATATTAATGGCAGGTTTAGTTTGCCAAAAATGTAGCTTTGTAGCGTTTCGATTCTTATGAAATAGGATAGACCGTAGAAGCCAGATTTTATCATTTAAATAACCTGAATGTGAATTTTCAGTGCAAAAAAGGTAAGAAACCAATGTTCTCTTTCCACAGTTTCATCTGAAAATGTAATGGGCCTATGTGTGGAAAGAGGTATAGAAAATAGTGAATTAGAAATATTGGTTAGTGTACTTGGTGGAACACAGTCCCTATCCGATCACCTTAACTGTAAAACTTGTTCTTGAATACACTCTGCCACCCTGAAAACTCTCCTGCAGTGTACTCTAAATGACAGCGGGTGCTGCAGTAGGTGATCTAGGATACCGATTTCTGTTCCCAAAGACTCTTTGGGCGAGTTCTTTTACTTAAACAAGTTATGGTTGTTTGAGCCACGAGTGACTTTAGTGTCACAAACTGCGCATTTAGCATTGTTTTTGTCCTCGTTTGACAATGGCTTCACATTAGGCCGCACTTACACTGACTCAGTGCCAAGGTTTGATGAGGACTGAAGAGAAAGTGTTGTGTGGGTGTATAACTGCGTAATAGGCACTTGTTTCTAACGTCTGAGACAAACAGAATTACAATTTGTTTGAAGAACTCAATACCAAATGAGTATTTCGTAAATATCAAAGTATTGATATTATAGTAATGGTTTACCAGGCCTTACCCTGGAGTTTTTAAATAAACTGAATGAAATACTCTCATGAAACAAGAATGAACAACTTCACATAGTGTGTACATTGGAGGTCTGTACTGATTCCAGAGGTATTCCATATTCCATAATGAATTTAACAGGTCAAGGCATATGAGTCTGGAAACACCAGCATCACCCAGCTCCACCGGTCAATTGCTATTGTTAACTTAAAGCTCCGGTGCGGAATTTAATTTGTGTGAATTTTAATGCCCCTGTGGACAAAGAAGTAAATATTTAAGCAAGAAAAGGGTAAGTAATCTCTTTTGACATCAAATTTTTCATTTATTGTGAATATTCAACCTGGAAATTGTAAAAATAGGGCTTTTTTTTCCTTTTAAATGACACCTACCCCCTTGAATGGTTTATAGGCACTAACAATAAAATATAAAGATCAATAGTTATGTTGAGGATGGTCTTGTTTACTGTCAGGTGTCCTAAAAAGGTCTGTTTTAAAAATAATAATAATAATAATAATAATAGGAGCTTTAACTGTCTTTCCAATAGAACCAGCTCCCCACCGCATATCTTTTTCTAAACTGCATTACTGCTTTCATTGTCTGAATGTTTTGATATTAAGCGAGAGAAAAGTTGTTTAAAAGTGATGCTGCCAGTAAGATCTCCTGATCCAGGTCAGCTTCAGCCTAAACCTAAAGGAATTTGTGGGAAGTAGAAATCTCTAAGGTGGTCGGTCCATGGACCAGTTTTGTGCAAGAAAATACTGAAATTTTAAGCAACCTCTGAAATCTTTTAGTTGATTTCATTTTCAGATTTATAAAAATGTTTTATTCCCTCCACTCTTTCATCTGTAGGGTTGATCTATACAAGGAAAAACCTTGACTAAAAACTTCATCTGATTTGGTTATGATAACTCTAATAAATATGTTATTGTTACTTGAAGTATGTGAATAGAGCGATTCCTGAAGTACTTTTTATCAGTTATGTTTCATTTGTGGTCTTTTTCATGAATCATTGATGAGAGAGTGTCCCCAGAACTATCCTTAAAAGAGGTTACAGTGGGACAAATATGAGACTTTTCAAAGCTAAAACCCTCTGAGAGAAAAGCCTGTTTTTCCTTCTTCATCCAAAGTTTAGGCCCCAGTTCAGAAAGAGGAACTATTCTGGCACCCGAAAGGGCAGAACATCAATTAAAGATCTGGGGGGGTGCAGAGGTAACCCTCAGCGCATATGTAGGTGGAAAGAGCTGAAATGCATAATCATCACGCTCCCTCCTTGGTCCTGCTCTCTAATTAAGCCATCTCCTGTTAACAAGGCTTCAGGCCTCCCTCTCTTCGGAGAGATAGACTGAAAGGACAGCGAGCAAACAGCTGACAGTTAATCACTATGTCTTAGGCATCGATCACACACCGAAGAAAAATGTCAAACGAGCAAACAGCATATGCATATTTTTCAGATTACATGGAGAGGCTTGATAAACATATAGAGGATTATTTTTCAAGATCCCAAGGCAATATGGATAGTTTCGGAAGGATTTAGCGTGAGGAGTAGCCATGTGGACAAACCCTAAGAAGAAATGTTGATCTTTTTTCAAAGAGAAGAATAATCCTGATAGGACGAGCACGTTCTGTGATCCTATTTAATACACTGAGACCAGTAATTCTCTCATCAGCTTAGTGCGTACACCATTCCCATCCATACACAGAGGAAAGAGCAGGAGACATTCATCTGGCTGATTAACAACTTCAGTCATTGTCTTCTTTAATTACAACAAAGTCAACAGCTCCATTACTTCCCCCTCCTTTTCTATCTTTCATCCCCCGCCTCTCTGAGGATTGTGGTGTTGGAACAAAAACAGAGCCGGCTTCAGCCTCATCTGTAGGCCGACGAGAAGGTCTGCACCCGCTCAGGAACATAATCAGCATTCAGGAGGAAGACGGAAGAACCGAGACGACCAACCAAAACATATATCCGTGGCTGCTGGTGGTAATTAGCGTCCCTTCTGCTAATTGGGCTCAGATCCCTTCCGGAGCGATCGCAGCTCTCTTTGAAATTGATTTGTTTGGCATCAACCTGCAGCCAGGCAGTCTGACTGGAAACCAATCAGTCAGTCATTCCATAGCCCTGCCTTTCAGGACGACTGCCAGTAGGGCAGTAGTACGTGTCAGTCAGTGAGCCAGCAAAGTGTCCACTAAACAAGGAGTTCAGAAAGTTAGT